GTCACATTTCAGGGATACTCTTAGATCCTCAAGTGCTTCATTCTTGGAGTGTTCTTAGTTTTTCAAGTGCTATATTGTGGAGTATCCTTAGATTCTCAAGTGCTATATTGTGGGGCACCCTTAGGTTCTCAAGTGCCATATTCTTGTGGCACTCTTAGGTCCTCAAGTGCCATATTCTTGGGTTACACTTAGATCCTCAAGTGCCATATCGCAAGGAGACTCTTAGGTTTTCAAGTGTCACATTCCAGGGATACCCTTAGGTCCTCAAGTGCTTCATTCTTGAAGTATTCTTAGGTTTTCAAGTGCTGCATTGTGGGGTATCCTTCGGTCCTCAAGTGCTACATTGTGGGGTACCCTTAGGTTCTCAAGGCCTATATTGTGAGTGTATCGCAAGGGGAAACGGCGTACTCCCGTACTCCGGAGTACCGAGAGTACAGGGGGTATGGGAAGTACGGGGAGTACAGAGAGTACCATGAGAGTACACGGAGTACAACAGGAGTACATCGAATGTAATATGAAATGGGCTTAGTAATTATTGAAAAACAGACTTGAAAATTTTGTGAAACACGATCTAAAAGGAGTGTTGACACGGGGGAAAAAGCAGATTGTCGGATCTCGGGATTCTCAGGATCGCCATAGGATCTCTGGATTCCCGATATGAATATTCCCTTGACTGTAGTTAGGGTCCTGATCCCGAATTTGAATGTGTTTGTATGCTTATTTGTTTCTCTGCAGAGTACTACTTTGAACCTACCTCAGAGCAAAATAAATTCTTAGGATATCCTAGGTCCTCAATCACTGTATTTTGGAGGTATCCCTAGGTCGTCAAGTCCTATATTTTGGAGGTGCCTTTAGGCTCTCAAGTTCTATTGTATATGGGTACTCATTGGTCCTCAAGGACCATCCTTTGGGGTATCTATAAGTCCTCAAGTCCTATTATATAGAGTACTCATAGGTCCTCAAGTTCTATTATATAGAGTACTCATAGATCCTCAAAGCTATCATATGGGGTACCCTTAGGTCGTCAAGGGCTATCCTATGAAGGTACCAATACGTCCTCAAAGGCTACTCTACGGGGGTGCCCATATGTCCTGAAGTCTTATTATATAGGGACACCTATTGGTCCTCAAGGACTGTCTTATGGGGATGCCCATAGGTCCTCAAGGACTGTCTTATGGGGATGCCCATAGGTCCTCCAGTCCTATTATATAAGGATACCGATAGAA